AAAAGGAAGAACGCGCCAGTTCTTATTTTTTCACTTACGTGCCGGGTTAAAGATTTGAAACACTATGTAATTCTGATTCAGCCACAGAGCAGTGCGCAAAACTGAGCTCTAAACCAGTGAATATGTTTTAAAAAACACTTTAATAGTTTTGATGAACTGTCTTCAGGGAACGACAAACCTCTACAGGCCTATCGCTTTGAACTTCGACCGTACACTGTCGTCCGCTCGAGCTCGCGTGCTATTTATAAGTGCGGTTGAGTTGCCAGTGCGGCGTATAGGAAAGAATAGTAGTGCAGAAGTCGTGGGCTCATGCATTTGGGTGAAGCATATCTCTTCCCGCTATCTTTATTTTTCTACTCCGAAAGATTTGTTGTGGCTGGCGTGTTTTGAATATTTTTAGTTTTGAAACTATAACAGAAATCCCAATGCGGAGAGAGAGAAAAAAAAACACGTACGCTCACACACACACACATAAATACACACGCACACGCACACACACTCATAAAACACACACACGCACAGAAACAACACACACGCACAGAAACACACACACACACGCGCGCACAGAAACACGCACACACACACGCGCGCACAGAAACACGCACACACACACATACACAAAATCGTCCCAAAAAGTAGATGCACTGTATTCTACCATCCTTACATACACCATTTTCTCCCACTCTACCCCTCCCTCACCACCTCGACCCCCCCTCCTCCTCCCTGCTCTTACCCCACCCTCAGGCACACATCCCAGAAAGCACATCTTCTGCAGATCAATATGTACCTGTCGGGCACCATTTACCGTGGCACCGTGGCACCTCTCTTCTTTCTCCCACTAGGCACTGACTTTAGGGCGATCATGGGAAAAGCACCTTGATGGATTACACACGTGCTGGTGCTCTGTGTACACACGGATGAATGGGTGAATAGATGGATGGATGGGTAGGTGGGTGGACGCACGGATGTATGGATGGGTAGATGGGTGGATGGATGGATGAGTAGGTGAGTGGATGGATGGATAGATAGATGGATGAGTAGGTGGGTGGATGAATGGATGGATAGATAGATGGGTACGTGGGTGGATGGATAGATGGATGGGTATGGATGGATAGGATGGAACGATGGATGGGCAGGTGGGTGGATGGATAGTTGGATGGGTACGTGGATGGATGGGCAGGTGGGTGGATGAATGGTTGGATAGATAGATGGATAGGTAGGTGGGTGGATGGATAGATGGATGGGTACGTGGATGGATGGATGGATGGGCAGGTGGGTAGATGAATGGGTGGGTGGATGGATGGATGGGTAGTTGGTGGTGGATGATGGATGGAGGTAGGTGGGTGGATGGGATGGATGGATGGGTCGGTGAGTGGATGAAAATATGGATAGATAGATAGATGGGTAGGTGGATGGATGGATGGATGGATAGGTGGGTGGATGAACAAATGGATAGATAGATGGATGGGTAGGTGGGTGGATGGATGGATGGGTTGGTAGGTAGGGATGGGTGGATGGATGGATAGATAGATAGGTGGTGGGTGGATTGATGGATGGATATATGATTGGATGGATGGATAGATCGATGAAGGATGGATGGGTTGTTAGGTGTAAGTGGATGGATGGATGGAGGGATGAATGAATGGATGGATAGATAGGTGGATTGATGGGTAGGTAGGAGATTGATGAATGAATGAATGGATGACTGGATGCATGGTTGAATAGGCAGGCGGAGGGAGGATTGATGGATGTGTGTATTTCTACATATGTATGTACGACTGCAGGTTAGTAGGCGTGAATAAGTGTGTAAGCAAGCATTGATGCATGTACACACAGTTATTTCGTACATATATATATATATATATATTGGAGGAAAAAGTAAGAGAAACGAATAAATAAAAAGAGAGAGGTAAAGATAAGCAAACAGAGTTACAGAGACATGGCAAGAAGGGGCAAAAAAAAAAAAAAGGGTAACTCGGTCAACAACGATAGTGAAATAAAAAGAAAAAGAAATAGAGAGGGGAGGAGAAAAAAAGACTGAGAGACAGAAATGGACATGGACATTCAAATAAAGACAGAGGCAGACAGACAGAAAAAGAGAGAGAGGCAGACAGACAGAGAAAGTGACAGAGAGACGGACACAAACAGACATAACCATTAAAAGAAAGAGAGAGAGACAAAGAAAGGCAAACAAACAAACATAGACAATATAAGAAAAAGAGAAAGACAGATAGACTTCGACAATAAAAGAAAGAGACAGAGAGGCAGCCAAACAGAGACAGACAGACAGACAAACAGAAGAAAGAGTCAGTGCGCCCATAAATACAGAGAGTACATCAGAATAGGAGTTTTCACCAGCCTCGAGAACCCTCACAAGCCCTTCACACACGAAGAAGAAAAAGAAAATGGTATCTGGAAACGGATTCATTTATATTGTCTTTGTTTTACTTATGTTCGATTTTTTTTCCTTTGTCCTTGCTCGAAAGTGTCTTTGTTTCCAATCGATTTTCTTTTCTTTTCTTTTTTTTTTTGTCTTTGTTTTTTCTTCGATTTGGTTCGATATTTTTCTTTCTTTATTTCTCGGTTTTTATGTTCGTTTTTTTCTTTCTTTCTTTGTTTTCATCAAGGAAGTTGCTTAGGAGGAATTAGGAGCGTTTGCCTTTATTCACTGATCGAAATTTCATTTATGTAAAAAAGAATAACATCAACATTCACAATAATGATAAAAGAACAATGGTAATAATAATGATACGGATAATTATAATAACAAGATTAATAATAACAATAATAATAATAATTATTATTATTATATTATTATTATTATATGATGATGATGATGATAATAATAATGATAATAATAACAATAATGATAATAATGATAATATTAGTAAAAACAGTCGTAGCAATGATGATCATATGATGATGGTAATAACAATAAAATCATCATTACGATAATACTGATTATAATGACAGTAATAATAACAACAATAATGTAAATAATAAGGATAATAGCAAAAACAACAACAATAACAATGATAACAATAATGGTAATAATAATAACAACAATAAATTTAGTAATAATGATAAAAAATAGAAGCACTCAGACAGGGCATACCTCCGCAAGGCAATAGGTTCACTGATGCAATAAGAATATACACAAATGAAGAACTACATTAAAAATTCTTGGATCTGGATCACCATCAAAATTCAATGCCATCTGAATTGGGCTAAGACAAACATCTGGTACAAAATATGTTCATAATTATTTGAGTTATCCTGGTGGCCAACGAAAAAACTAACCAACGCTACCTGAAGCATAACATCTTTGGCGGAGGTAATGGTGATAATAATGATAATCATAACAGTAATAAAATCAATGGTAATAATAATAGTACTGGTAATTATGAAAACAGTGAGGGTAATAACAAAGGTAATAATAATAATAATTATAATGATACTGATGTTAATGAAAACAATGATTAATAATGATAACAATCATGAAAACGATGATAGTGATAATAAAAATAATAACAATAATGATAAAGATGATTATACTAATAACAATATTGATTATGATGATAATCATAACATTGAGAATGATAATGATAACATTATTACAATCATGATTACATTATTATTAAAAATAATGACAATAGTAATAGTAATAACAATAATTGTAGCAACTAATAATTACAATAATGATGATAATATTTACAATGATAATGATAACAATAATAATAATGATAGTAATAATAAAGATGGTGATGAGGATGATTATGATGATGATAATTATAATAAAAATGATAATAATAACAATGACAATAATGATGATGACGATGGTAATTTTCATAACAATAATGGTAATAATAATGACAATAATGATGGAAGTATTAGGAATGGGCAGTGCAAGAGAAGAAAAGAAAATAAACAGGTTGATGGTGATAAAATGAAAATTTAAAATAGAAAGAGAATTAAGTGAGGGATGTAAAGAGGGGATTCAATTAATGGATTTTCATTAGAAACATTAATGATGTTCAGATGCAGGAGGGATTGAAGATATTCATTAATGAGAATTTTAAACATTTTCTTTTCAGATTCGTGGTTTTAAACAAGGTAATCCTCTAACATATCGAATACAGTTCGTAGTTTCATAGTCAACACATTTGTCCCCTTTATTTCCTTTATCTCATTTTGGCTAAATAATATGACAGTCTCTTCGAAACGCCTTTGTAGTTTTCCTTCTAGTTCAACAAAAAGGAGCAATTTTCATTACACATGACACGTGCACTTTCCTTCCGACACGACAAAAGAGAGACCATATATATCGAATATTTCTTTCTTTCCCTCAACAGAAACGATTGCCTTTGAAAGGAGCAGATCGCCTTTAAGATAATTTAGGCCTTTATGCTTGCCTGCAACTGGTCAAAACATGGTCCGCGTGTCTATACATGTCCGTGTATGTGAATGTGAGGATGTGTGTGCTTTGTTTGTTTTGGGCCCAGTAAGTGCATGTGTATACGTGTGGATGTGCGTATGTATGTCTTATTTGTATTGTTGCAATTTTCGTTTGCCCAACGTCCATGCGTCAATGCATAGGTGCACATACTCTCACAGCCACGCACCAAGCACAAACGCACGCACGCAATCGCAAGGTCTGCAGCCAAAATTGACATTAAGTGGGGGTTGTCAACTGGGCTTGATGCTGAAAGCTCTCCGAATGCCGTAAGTGCTGAATCAATTCGCCTCGCGTCTTGAGTGCTCTGTTGCCTTTCTGAGACACTGACGCTCAGTAAATGTTATCAGATAAACGTCTTGGCAGCTCGTGCCGCCTCTCGTGATTGTCGCAGGGAAAGGTGTGTTAGGGTATGACTGTGGAAAGCTAACTTTATCATCGATTCGTTTATGTAAGACCAATGATTAATAATGTAATATATTACATATACATAACACCACATAATACCAGACACACACACACACACACACACACACCACACACACAC